GCTTACATCAAGTCGACCATTCAAATGAAATAGTCGCCGAAATGAAGTCTTTATCTCAAAGGTTTGATCAATTTTTTATTAACCAAAACTCGGCGAACCAAGTATCTTCCTTCCCTAACCATTCTCATCTTGCATCAAATGAAACATGTATGACTTGTTCTAGTGTTTTTCATTCTATTTCTCATTGTCCTCACGGACAAGTGCAAAATGAACCTAATGAACAAGTCAATGCAGCTTTTGTGAACCAAGGGAATAATCCTTATGGTACTCATTATAATCCAAGTTGGAGAAATCATCCGAATTTCTCTTGGAAAAACTAAGGAGAAGGCTCAAACCCTTCCCAAGGCGGTTTTTAAGGGAAGTACATTCCACTTCCACTTCAAAACCAAGGATCCCAAGGTTATAGACCTTATCAATCACAAGGGAATCAATTTGCTAACTCTCATTTTCCTAACCAATCTTATTCCCAAGGAAATACTAGAAGTCCTGCCTTTGAAGACAAAGTTTTGAATGCTTTGGGCACTTTAGAGGCTAACACTCAATTGCTTCATTCTCACTCTCAATCTATTGCAAAGCTAGAAACCCAAGTAGGGCAAATAGCAAGCACTCTTAATGCTAGAGAGAAGGGAAAGATGCCTATGAATGCGCCACCGAAGCAACAATGCGTTGTGGAAACCCATTCCTCATCGGAAGGCCACACCATTGAGCATGTTAATGCGGTGACTACCTTGCGGAGTTGTAGGATTGTGGATAATCAAGTTGAAATATCTAATGAAAAGAGTGAACCGGTGCAACCTTAAGTTGTCACCCGTCCCATTTCACATCCCATATCCTCCTTCATTGCATATACATGATCTTGTGAATGAGAAAGCTTCAAAATGTGATTTCAAGAATGATTTTGAAAATGATTTAAAGAAAGATTTGCCAAAAAATGAGTTTGAACAGATTTTGTTGAAAAATGATTTGAAACAAAGTGATTGAAAAAATTCTTGTGTTGAGGACTTTTCAAAAGAAAATGCTGAAAAAGTGTTTGGCCAAAAGCTCCATTTCCGGATGCTTAAAAGGATCCATTTCAAAAGACAAGCAAAAGGTAAAAATCAATGAAATCATGGAAATGTTTAGGCAAGTGAAAGTCAATCTTTCACTTTTGGATGCAATCAAGCAAATTTCGGCTTATGCCAAATTCTTGAAAGACTTGTGCACCCAAAAGCAAAAGAACAAGAGCCAAGCACCAAGAAAAGTAGCTTTGACCGAGCAAGTAAGCTCAATTTTGCAACATAACACTTTACCAAAGTTTAAGGACCCCGGTTCAACTATTACTTCGTGCATCATTGGTGAACATATCATTAATCGGGCGCTTCTTGACTTAGGAGCAAGTGTTAACCTTCTTCCATACTCGGTTTATGTCAAATTGGGCCTAGGTGAATTGAAACCAACATCGGTAGTTTTACAACTTGCTGACCGATCCATTAAGAAGCCTAGGGGTATAATTGAGGATGTATTGATTAAAATTGACAAGTTTTTCTTCCCCGTTGATTTCGTTGTCATTGACATGGAACCGGTCCCCAATCCTAAAAGCCAAATTCCCGTTATCCTTGGCCGTCCTTTCTTGGCAACCACTAATGCCAACATTAATTATAGGACGGGGATAATGAAGATCTCATTTGGCCACATAAAGGTGAAGTTGAATATCTTCAATCCCACACCCAATTCATTTGACAAATATGAAGGAAAGGTTAATGTTGTAGATAAATGTCATGATCTTCAATGTCAAGGAAGTGAGCTTTTATGTAAGACCAAAACTTCAAGGGAATCATCTTCAACCTTGCATTCTCAAAGTCTTGTTTCAAATTCTTGCCTTGAAAGGGCATGAAAGCCCAAAGGTTGTGATTGCATTGACAAGGGATCAAAAGTTTCTTTTGAGCTTGATCCAACAAGTTCTTCAAAGAACTGTTTGTTGGGTGGAGTTCAAAGCATCTATTACCCCAACAAGGAGGGGATGCATTACAAGATCTTTGATCCAGGCTAAAAGAGCCCAACCTCTTTTTAGAGACGTTAAAGACTAGCACGACATTTCGTAGGGTGTCAAAACCCTATTCCTCCCTCATTTTTACTTAAATTTCATTTCTTGCGAAGTCTAGATACTTGTTTTTGGTTCATATGCATTGCTAGGAACTGTGATTAGGATTGCATGAACTTTTATGTTGTGATTGAGCAATTTGCATAACTTCGATCGATCTCAAACGAGAGTTCGATCTATCGAACTTCCATCTACATCCAACACTTAGAAAAAAATTTGACCTGCATCCACCTGCATCCAAATTACCTCTATGTCCCCTCATTCGAACTCATTCTCAGATCGATCAGAAGACCTTAGATCAATCCAACTTCAAAGTTCGATCGATCTCGTGATCCAACGCTTAGAAAAATTTTGAGCTTGCATCAACCTGCATATTTCAGCTCTCTGTCTCATCGATCGAAAACATTTCAAGATCGATCTGAAGTTCTTCGATCGATCCAACTTTAAAGTTCGATCGATCTGCAAGTTCCAACACTTAACCAAATTTTTTAACCAAAAACCTGCATATTTTTGCTCTCTGTCTGATCAATCGAACATTTTGTTCAGATCAATCTTAGTTCTTCAATTCTCTATTTTTACTTTTGTTTGACTTTATTTGACTTTTTAATTTTCAAAAAATCCAAAAAATTTATTTTATTTTATTTTATTTTCCAAAAATACAAAAAGATTTTCTTTTATTTTCTTTTATTTACTTAATTTTTCAAAATAAAAAAAATAAAAAATAAAAAAGAAGAGAAAGATTTTTATTTTATTTATTTTAAAAATCCAAAAGATTTTAGTTTCTTTTTTTTATTTTATTCTATTTTTCAAAAATCCAAAAATATTTTCTATTTTTCAATTTTAATTTTTAATTTTAGTTTTTAATTTTTCAAAAATTTCAAAAATTCCAAAAACACTTTGAAGAGAGATCATCAAAGTTCGATTGATCTGAAATCTCAATTCGATCGATTGAACTGATCGGAAAAAGTTTTTAAAAATAGACCTTGAGGGTCTCAAGATCGATTCATTAGATCGATCCAACCCTCCAAACCCTTGTGCCTCATTCCCATCACCACTGTGCACCCATCTTCATCATCTTCTCCGGTGAATCTCTGACGAGATCCAAACAACGTTGATTCTCTCTCTCTCCTCTCGGATTTTCATCTCCATCTTCTTCTCATCTTCTCTCGCGACTTGAGGTAAGATCCGAGCCATATCTTATGATTTCAAGCTTTAACTTGTTCAATACATGTTGCCTACATGCTAGATCTAGGATGTATTATTGATGATTTCCTCCATTGATGAAGCTTGAAGCATGTTTGTATATATGTGTATTTAGATTTGTATATATATGTATATATTTGTGTATTTTGAATCCATTTTGGGAGTATGGGCTTTGTAAAGGGACTAAGATTGAGGAATTGTTATGTTGATGGGCCCACGACCTTGTTCGTGTGGCCCCCATGCTTCCAAAGTCACATATCTGTGACCTTTCAATTTTCATCTTCGCACAGTTCGATCGATCAAACTTCTATCTCAGATCGATCGAACTCATCCTTTTCAATTTCTCAGATCGATCGAAGTTTTGAGATCAATCTCACATTTTTTTTGTGATTGATCGAACTTCACAGATCTCATACACACATTCCATGCATCTTATCTTGTGTCCATGCTATCTCATTCATGTCCAATGCCTGTGATATTCTACATTGGATGCATTTCATACTCACATTATTTAGCATGCTTCATATCCTGTTACTTGCATAGATTCATGTCATCTATATGTTTTGTCTATCTTATTTGACATGCATGTTTCTATTTTGTACTTTTAATTCTTTATTCTGGCACTGACTCCCCTTGCAAGTTTTTAAATTATTTTTTAGGCCATGACTAAGTGCAAGACTATTGCCAAGAGGCAACACGGGCCTCGGAGACATATCAGACCTAGGATAGAGGAGCCAGCAGAGCCCTCTCATGCATAGGAGGAGCCATTAGAGCCTACTCCACCTCAGTCACCTGCTCATGAAATTGAGGATGATCATATTCCATCTACTTCTATGGCTCAACCTGCGTTTACACCATCCCCATCTCCATCACATGCTGGAGCTGAGCATTCACCATTACCATCTTCATCACACCAGCCAGCAGCCATCTCGAGAGCATGATAGGCCTGCGCCTAGATATGCGCATATGACAGTGGACTATGAGTCAGTGTTTGACACAGATTTTTTCTCCAGATCAGTGTTGACCTGATCAGCTTATCATGATATTATCTAGAGGGGCCTTGCAGTTATTCTTGCCCCAGTTACTGAGCCAGTTTGCCCGCGGCTAGTACGGATGTTCTTCCAGAACCTCTGACCGTCCCCGCGTACCACGACAGTGCTGGTCACTACCATAGATGGCCATCAGATTACTATTACTATGGACACGCTAGCCAGATCATGCCATTGTCCACACCGATGCCTTCCGGAGCTACAGGAGCTATATCCGAGGCTATACAGGCTTTCTTATGCCGACATGGCAGTATTTCTGATAGGTCACCATGCCGATGGCGAGACTTTTGCCACCCGAACCTTTCTTCTAGATGACCTATGGTTCTTTGATTCTGTTCTCTTTCAGAATATATATATGGCCGGGCATAAGATTCAACGGCGAGGAGACTATCTGACAGCCCTCTACGCATTTTATACAGGCCACTAGGTATCTATCCTCGCGCTCATCTGGAGCATGATGAGGAAGCTTTTCGATGATTATATCAGCAAGGAGAAGCCTGGAGGGGCTAAGTCTCTCCTTTTTAGCCACCTCATCACCCAAATACTAATTGATCAGCACTATCCTTTTCATCATTAGAAGCACCCTGACAGAGGTTCCTGTCACTTCTTGAAGATGGACTAGAACAAGAGCTACAATGCTATTATCACCAGACTGTAGGACCACGCAGTAGTGGCTGCAGAGGAGCTCGAGGCTGAGGAGGCTGAGGCAGCAGCAGTAGATCCTACAGCGGATGATGTACCAGTAGGTCCAGTTGCCGAGCACATAGACATTGATTTAAAGCGACCTGCAGATGATGCAGAGCAGCACTCTCCAGCTGGGTTGCCAGTACACGAGGAGGAGCAGACTCAAGATCTTTCTTCTGATTCATCCATACCTGAGGCTCCTAGTCAGACTCCCGGCTTTGGAGAACGTATTCAGGCTCTTGAGGATGCAGTAGTTGCTATCAGAGCAAATACTGCTGCCATTCGAGCCGATGCTGTAGCCCACCGAGATGATTTTGCTACATTCTGCACGGATGTCATGACTGCACTGCGAGACATGCAAAATACCATACATCCATGGTATACAAAATATAACATCCAAAAGGAAAGCACGCTAAACAAGTGCGTGTCAATATACAAAAATGCTTCAAAGTACTCATAAGCCCCTAAGGATGATGTGCATCCAAGAACATTGTCTCCTTACGGGTAACCCACACAACTATAAGCCAAGCTTTTCTCCAATGGTGGCTAGGTTAGGATTTTGAGAACAAGTGTAATGAAAAAGATGAAAGTGAAAATGGTGAGTGGAGGATTTAGTATTCCTCCACTCATTATGTGCTCTTACACTACCTCTCATACACATACAATGCAAGACTAAAATATGAGCCTACCCTTGTCACAAATCCAAGGCACCTTCCTAGGCTTAATCCTAAGCCTACACTTGTCAACCATCCTAGCTAACAAGTTGTGATACCCCCGGATTTCCAAATACGAGTGAGCCAGGCCAACGCCCGATTACCCCGAGGATATCAAACCAATTAGCAATAATCGAATACAGAATACAATTAAGGAAACAAGAATAAATAAAACTGCTGAAAAGAAACTAGAATGATAATCCAAAACTGAAAACCTCAAAATTAAATTTTATAAATAAAGTATTAATCTGATACATCTAACTTTTTTCAATTCCAATACAACTCGGGAATCCATCTGGTGGACCTCTAATCAAAACCAACGTTGAAAAATGAACAACTGTAAAGAAATCCACTGCTAAACCATGAAGAAACCTCCTACATCGTCGGTAGAATGAGTAGTCATCTCTGGTCAGCACGAACAAGCTCTAAGGCCTAGAACCGTTCGTAACCTAAAAAACTAATAGTGAGTCAGGCCCACGAACAAGTTCTATCCTAACTACAATCCAAATAGAGACCCGATACATAGATGCATCATATATGTCCCAACCATATCTATATAGTCCGTAATAGATAAATATATATCCACACTACAGGACTCTCACTAAACTATGCTGAGGGTCTTAACCTGAATAGAAGGCAGCATGCAATACGCACCTGAGTGGGCATGACTACCTAAGCTTAACAGGGTATACCTCAACCAACATAGCTAGTTACTCATCCTACTGCATATACGCACCCTAACCGCCGACTATGAGACTCAAGCTCAGATCGCGGTACCATAATTTATATATATAAATTCCCCTCCAAACCAATGTAGTGCCGCTCAACTATTCGTCGCTCAAGACAACATTTAATCAGGATTTAAACGTTTTAGTTAAAACCCTATCCTTCCTAATACAGAAATATAAATAACCATCTAATATGTCGTTTAACTGTTTTAGTTTACAGGACATAAAGCCATGTAGGATTTAACTATTTTAGTTAATCCATTCCGTATGTATGAATGGGTTGGAATTAGCGTTTTGATCTAATCCGTCCCTCCGTATACCACCGTTCCATACCGGTGCATACCATGTATATGATCCGTAAATGATACAACAACTCCATCAGTGCATCACATAAATCCACAAAATCCAAGTAGTTGATAAAACAGAATTGCAACAGTACATCAACTATAATCCCAAAATATCATCCCTATAATTGCTAAAACAGTTTAATAGTCCAGCAATACAAATCCAAATCCATAATCCAAGTAATTGCATACACCATTTAATAATCCAGCAATTACAATCCAAGCATTTAATCCAAGTAATTGCATAAACAGTTTGATAGTCTAGCAAGTAAAATCCAAATCCATAGTCCAAGTAATTGCAGAAAAAAAATATAGTATTTCCACCATTAACATCCAAGATATGCATAGATCAAACTTGTTAATTAAATGATCCTAGCATGCAACCAAAATAAGATTTATAAATATATACATAAACCATTAAATTATTAAAATTAAATTAGGAAATTAAACCCTTCCATCCGTTAACTGCCTGTACTGCTTTGTACACTTTCCTACGGTTAAATCCATGAGTGCTAAGGCCTTCATTTATTAAAATATGCTCTAGTATAGCATGATATAATGTTTGGAATCCATGTTCCAACTCTTTTTAATTTCTAGACACAGTTTGTGCATTTAAATCCTTCCGGTCCTCCAAGTCCGTAAACTGACTACGACTTGCTTTAGATTTTCTTACGGTTTAAAACATTAGCTTACAAATAAATTAATGCATCCTAGGGCTTTAATATTCCGTGAATTAAGATTTAAAACCATTACAGTAACCCAAACATAGCTGAAAATAAGCCAGTTTGGACCAAACATTACGTGACTAAGCTTCTGTATTGCACAAGATCACAAAGACTTCTCTAAAAAAACTGGAGAAGGCTCTAAGCAACAAGAGACGTCTCCAACTAAGGGAGAACCTTCTCTAAGTTTTTCAAGAGCCTTCTCTAAGTGGATAGAGCCTTCTCTAAGTTTTTGAAGAGCCTTCTCTAAGGTTTCAAGCTTATGTAACACACGTTGTGACACCCAAAACCATCCAAAACCACAGAGCCTGCTCCATTCACGTAAATGACAACCCTTCTGTACCTCTAAAACAAGTTTAAACTCATGTTATAATCCACTTAAATTGCTAGTTTAAACTTAGGCAATTAAATCCTTTCTGTCCAGAACTAGCATATAAAGTTGTTTAAGTTCCCTCTGTTAATTCCACTTGCGTAATTGCATCTCTTATGCACTGGTAACTTATAAAAATACCTAGGTTGCATGTTAATCATCTTAGTCTACTTCCCACACAATTCCAGACTCAAGAATCGTCCACACAATGCACCCAAAAACCCAGTATCCGTCAAAATAGGAGAAAATAGGAGAAAGCCTGCTCTTAGAATACAAGAGCAGGCTCTAGCAAGCATGGAGCTAGCTCCATGCCTTCTTGGAGCCAGCTCTTGAATGATGGGAGTCAGCTCTTCAATTCTAAGAGCCGGCTCTTCATTCCTCTGAGCCTCTGTTCTCCTCCAGCCCCGTTTTCCAACCATCTGCTTCAACACCGGCCACTTCCACTCCCTCTGTTTGTTTTTAAAACTGTTACTAGGAGTTCTAAGTGAGTCTAGAACCATCCCATACTTTTACTTAAGTTAGTTTGCATTAAATAAAACCTTAGAACATTCCCCGATCAAACATGCACAAGAAGAGAAAACATTGTAATCAAACCAAACCAAACTTGCATAGACTGTAACAAAGTAAATTCACGCATACAGAAAATTGATATAGCATATAATAAGCATCTAAGATTCAATTTAATAACCAATTATAACCCTAGAGACTCTCTAAGGATGCACAGAACACAAGCAACGGGAGAGAGAAAAGAAAGAACTTGCCTTTACAATTTTGGATTCAAAACCATGTCGCCGTCTTCCTAAGCTTTCCAACGACGTCCAATTCACTGTTCAGTCTCCTAGGGCTCAATCTTCCCTTCTCCTATGTCTGTTCGTCAAGCCACGGCCAAGCCCTCACCAAAGTTGTTCTGTTTGTTTCTCACAACCTCTCTGTTTTCTCTATATAACTCTCTGTTTATGAACGAGTGTTTGTGAATGAAGTTTTATGGTTTCCTAACCCTAAGCCGACGTCTAATAATATATTTATAGGTTTAGAAAACTAAAACCCTAATTCTAATTCTAATCCTAGAAAGAAAAGGGCAACCACAAAAGTTATAATTCAAGTCGGCTAAATACTTGAGAATATACACGTAACCCTAAAATTATAACATATATTAAAATATGATAAACAACACCAGTTTAATTATTAATAAATACCAATAATTAAAACTACCTTATATACATATATACCTATATATACATGTATATACTTCCATGTGTAAAAACTGTACCCCTTTACATTATTCAAATAGTCCGTTAATCCTATCCAAGCCCAACCTTGTTTTAAAGATAAATAAATAAAATAACACAGCATTTAAAAATGAATTTAATTCAATTACAACAAATAAAATACAATTAAATTAAATAAAAATAAAACAATTCAACACATACTTCACAAAGCAACCCACCACAATTAAATTAAATACTAATTAATCAAATAAGGCAAATTCAAATACACCATCAACAATTAAATCAAATACAAATAAAACAATTAATCACATAAACAAATAGACACAAAATCAATTAAAAATGCACAAAAATAAACTTAAATTCCAATTTTATCCTTTTGGAAAATAGGGGTATTACATTCTTCCCCCCTAACAAAAGGAATTCCGTCCTCGGAATTCACGAAACTCTGAATTATTTTAGTTGAAATTCATTTCTGTCCCATTGTGGATGCTGCCGCTATGCAGGAGCTCCACTTAATTCCAAATCCTCTAAAGAAACTTATGAGTTCTATATCAACGAAACATAAAAGTTATGCAACACGTAAGTTGGATTGAGCAACTTCCTATCCATACCCACATTGTTTAAACAGGGTATAAATCCACATGCCTCCAAATTACATAGCATAAATGTGTAAAACTCCAATACATCTCATCCTAACGTTGTAAATCACAAATCGATAGGCTACCGCCTAAATGGAGAAACACCCTCCATGAAAGTCAATGTAATATATATAAAAAAAAATTGACCTTTCTCAGTAACACCCCTTGCATCCGATATTGAAGACATCCCCAAATCAAATGTTTCCCACTCCCATTTTGATCTAGGCAGTGGCAAAAATCTCCAATGAGCTCCGGTTATCCATCGTCCACCTTTCAAACAAGTGTTACTCGTAAAGACAGTTATATACATGTCGCTGCCCAAACCTGATCCCTAGAACTGACAGTTGATGTCGTGATGTTCCTGATAACCATCCGAGTGCATTGAGAAGGAGTGTCGATTGTGAAATCGCATTCATTCTGGCAGCACTAACAAAACTACAAATCGCCCGTCAGTACCTTAACCAGGATGAATAAAGAACTAAAAGTTGTGAATCTCAGTCCTTACATCCTTCTTCCCATTTGTTTACAAGAAGTACCAACTGGTCTGGTACCACCAGCTTTGTTTACACCTATTGCTTACATCGGAGCATCCTCAAAAGCTAACTCTGCCACTGTAGCTATGCATCACCAGTTAGTGATAAGCAGACCGATACTAAAATCAACCGACAATTCCATTCAGTGAAAGTCAATTCACTATGACTTCCCACACACACCGT